AATCACAACGCACTGGATAGCTGGCCAATCAGCGTACACCTCACTTTTCAGAACGATGAGCTTTGTAAAACTTAATGCGTTTCGGAAAGGCGGGGCATAGAGGAGAAACAATAACATACAGAATGTGGAAAATAATGTGTTTTTTGAACCTTAAACCACATGTAAGGGACCCAGCAGTCAAAAAAAATATTAGGCATAGGAAAAACGAGCTTCCCAAACAAACAATATTTTTAATGAATCAAAACAAACCTTCACAAGTTTAAAGCAGAAAATCAAAATTCAAAGAAATCAAATAAACTGACTTAGGCCTATAAAAGAGGTCAACAGAACAAAACTGAACTCAAGATAACTGAGAGCATGACAAACAAACTGAACTGACCTAACAAATGACACCATAAGAACACATTTATACAACTGGACTAGCCCATGTTCCACACAAGAGGGGAAAACAAAAAAAACAACTACAACATACAACAACAAACAAATATCAAACTATTTAAATAGTTGAATTAAAGATTAAATATAAATCTTGAAAAGAAGTCTAAACCAAAATTCCATTAAGGAAGTGAAACATAAGAAAACAATGCCCATTTAGACAACTCAATCCTCCCTCCAATTCATCTGTCCATTGGAACCGGCCAACGGAACTAAAGAGTGGTGGAAACAGCACGCCAGTCCTTTAGGCGGACATACCCCGCGACTGAAACTCGGAAACCTCCGCTATTCTCCACACAGCCCACACCACGGTAACTTGAACTAAAAAAAAAACAATATTAACAGAAATATACAGCACAGCGAACTAAATTGTGTGCACTCCAACTAGTTAACATGTACCGATATTCAATAAACATTCTAAATGAGCAAAAGAATCGAGTCTGTCTTTTTACTCAATATCATGTGAAAATTCATTAAACAAATGCAACAATAAGCCGGAAGAATAAGCAGGTAAAATCAATGCTTACCCATACGTATAATAGGTGTATATGTGTGTGTGCGCGTGTGTGTAAATATGCACGTTACCGCTCACTGATGTCTGGCCGCATCGTGGGCCATCACATACTCCCTCCCTTCGGGAATGTCACTGGCACAACGGGAAAGATAATCCGCTGTAAGATTTACTTTGCCAGGAACATGTTGGATGGTGAAGCAAAACGGTTGCATGGCAAGGTACCAGCGAGTGATTCGACTGTTAGTGTCCTTCATTCTTTGAAGCCACTGTAGAGCCTTATGATCCGTCTCCAGTCTAAACTCCCTTCCTAGGAGATAGTATTTCAAGGAGTCCAAGGCCCACTTCACAGCCAAGCATTCCTTCTCCACGATGGAATAGCGGACTTCTCTAGGGAAGAGCTTGCGACTGAGGAAAGCAATGGGGCGCCGCACATCAGGGCCACCCTGCAACAAAACGGCTCCTAGGCCGGTGTCAGAAGCATCTGTTTGGAGAATGAAAAGTCCGTTAAAATCAGGATTATTCAGCACAGACTCATTGCCCAAGGCAGTTCTAATATCTTGGAATGCGGCTTTCGCTTCTTCAGTCCATCGGAGCTGATTGGGACTCCTTGAGCCCACCATATCAGTCAAGGCTGCAGCCCTGCTGGAAAAATTGGGAACTAATTTATTATAAAATCCAGCCATGCCCAGAAATGATCGCAGCTCCTTGCGAGTCCGTGGCTGGGGACACCCTTCAATGGCCTGAACATTCTTCACCTGAGGCTTTATTACCCCATTGCCAATGACAAACCCCAGGTACTCTGCCTCAGTCTTTGCAATGGCACACTTTTGGGGATTAACAGTCAAGCCAGCTCTCTGGAGCCGTTGCAGAACCTCCTGGACATGCTGCAGATGTTGTTCCCATGTGTTACTATATATCACAATATCATCTAAATAAGCAGCTGTGTAGGTCAACCCCTGCAGTACCTGGTCCATAAGTCTTTGGAAACTAGCAGGCGCCCCGTGCAGCCCAAAAGCGAGAACCTTAAAATTAAATAGCCCCCACGGGGTCTTGAAGGCTGTCAGTTCTCTAGACCGCC